AAAAAAAAAAAAAAGGATGAATGGGTCTTAAACTGATAACCAGTAATTCAGCATACCTCCTGAGAGAAGTGCACACGCAAGCGACAGGAGGGGACCTCCCAGCCTCTGCTGTCACACTCCTGAGAAGACACCATGTGCACACACACACCCACTCCTGTGTGGTACACACCCTGCCCTGAGAGGACACTGCCTGGAAGGGGTGGGAAGAGAGCCTCACACGTAGCTCCAAAGACAGGAACACGACATGGTCAACACAAATCACACTCACACAAGGCCTGGAAAGAAAGAATAAAACCAGATGCCAAGCAATGCATCCTGACTCCTTTTAAAGTAACGCAATACACATGCATCTGCTGAGCTGCCCAGCAACCCTGGACGGGTGCACTGGAAGCTGGCCAGAGCGGCCCTGGGTGTCTGAAAGGGCCTGACCTGGTTACCGTGGCTGTAAACACGCAACTACACTACCAGTTCACACCTTGATTAAATGTCCTAATTTCATACGCTCGGTGTATTACTAACACAAAATATGGTATTAAATAACAGCTATAAAATACTTTGTAGTCAACTGGGCTTAGTGACACATGCCAACAATGCCAGCCCAGGGAACTCAGTCACTTAGCAAGACCCCATCCCTAAATAAAAAAATACAAAGAGCCACAGAGCAGCGCACAGGCCCTCCCTGTGTTTAATCTCACTACTAGGGGGAACCACCCTCCTGCAGCCTTACCTGCAAACTAGCCACATAGGCGTCTTCACGGTTTACGTAACGTCCTAACATGGCACGCTGGGCCCGCAGTTCATTATCCCTTATTCGCTCATGGAGATGGGTAATCTGCTGCTTCTGCCTGTAAAACAAAACTTGAAGTTACATTACGAAGAATACATTTTTATAAGAAACAGTTAAAAGCAGAGCTTTTAGTGTTATAATTATTTTACCCAAGAAGTTAACAGTACTGTCAAATTTAGAAACCAGTAACAGAGAGCGTGCACAGCTCCGACGCTGTCTGAGCTGTGGGATGGCCATCAGGCTTGCTTGCACTGTGGGGTCCTTCTGGTATTCTGTGGACACTGTCATTGGTAGACTGCTTCCCAGGCCCTAACGAAGAGCTGCACCTTGCTTTTGCCTTTCCTTTCCACTCCTATGAGACACTGCCTGCTTGTGCAGCGTTACAGCGTGTATCTAGATGTTCCTCCAGAGCTTTGGGGGGGGGGGGGGGGGGGGGGTTCTACAGCGACAGCTGGGTCTAGGGTGTGTGATGCTGGGATTACGGGTACCCCCTCCCCCGTGTAAGTTCTACCCACACTAAATGCAGATAGCCTGGATGGAATATGAGGGCAGAAAGGGGGCTGCGATCGGTGCTCACTGCTGCTGCCCACTTTGCCAGGAAGTTTCTCCTCTTTAATTCCCCTCAGCCATCCCACCCTGCTATAGCGCAAGTGGACTATGGACTGAAGCCTCTACAGACTGTGACCTAACTAAATCTTTCCTCCTTTTAGCTTGTGGGTCTCTGGTATTTTGTCTCAGCAATAAGCAAAGCAACTAAGACAGGCAGGAAGTCTACTGACTTAAAATCCCATTTCCATTCTTCCAGAATGTGCTCCATGGGTTGTGTCAGCACAGCCATTCCTGAGCTCTGGCATCTGTGCGAGGGTGGCTGGCCCCAGCACCATCCCGGAGGTGGGGGTGCACTTCCGTCTGCCTGACTGGTACCTGCCCAGGGACAGCGGGGCACACCGCTGGGTGCATCTGACGGGCCCCAAGCATCAACGTCTGGCCCCCGGCACCTCCCTCTGCACTGCTCCCCAGTTCTACCTCTGCCAGCCACCACAGATGCGGCAGCTTTGCTCTGTCGCCCCCTCTGCCGTGGTACTTCTGGCTGGAGCCAGCTGGCGTGGACTTTCCCCCTGAAACGTGAACTATATTAAATGTCTCGGGCTGTAAGGCCCCATGGCAGGGGCTGGGTGCAGCGCTGGGAGTGTAAGCCCCTCCTCCCTTCCACGTCTCCATCTTCTCCCTGACGCCAGCTGCATGGTCTACGTGCCAGCATGGCCAGCAACAGACAGCCCACGGCTCTGACCAGCCCTGACACGCGCGCCCCGGGTGGTGATGCCATCCGCGCAAGTGTAAGGCTTTCTCCAGCAGCTCGCAGCTTGGCCTCCACCAGCTACTCAATGTCTAGGAAGATGTATTTTAAAAGTACTACAAATCAGGCAGGATGTTAAGAGTTTTATGTGCCTTATTTCTTAGGTTCAAAAATTTACTAAGTCTCATAATAACGATATAAAGGAATGAAAATTTTTATTATTATTTTTAATTTATTATTTTATTTTACTTTGTATTTTAGGGAAGGGCCTACAGGGTGTTCAGGGTCTCACTACTAGATTGGACTCATAGTGATCCGCCTGTTTACAGCCTCCCAAGAGCTGGGATTACAGGCGCACGCCACCACGCCCAGTCTCAGCATGCCCTGGGAGTGGGGCTGGCACGGAAGAATTTTTAATAAATAGTAATACTGTGGAGAAACTTAGTGGCTGAGGTTTTCAAAGGTTACAAAGTAACTGTGAAACACACAAGGTTGCTGAGGTTTTCAAAGGTTACAAAGTAACTGTGAAACACACAAGGTTGCACGCTTTAAGCTGCATCAAAGAACTTGGTCGACTTAGAATCATTGTTATTTTTTTAAAACATTTATTAACAGTCTTTAAAAACAACCACATAAAAGATGAGAAATAAGAACTAGGGAACCAAGAAAGAATTAAGTCTTCCGCCAATTTTCCAATCATTCACACTCTAACAGAGCAAACTCCTTCCATGCTACGAGGGCGCACTGGGCCTGGGCTTTCCCTCCCACCTGAAGCAGAACACAGGGCAGCACACTGTGACAAGGGCGCTCGAGACACTGGACACTTGGGAGCAGTGGGGAAAATGACCTCCACACTAAGTTCAGCTCTGATGCCAAGAACAGAACTTTAAAATAACAACAAACACTTCCCAGAATGAAGCTCAAGAAAGCAAAAGTAAAAGTCCTAACGCATGCTATCAAGAAAGAAACCACAAGGCATGCAGAGAACCTGAAAATTACAACCCACAATAATCAGAAGAACCAGGCGCTGAGCCAAACCTGGCATGGAGGATGGACTAGACAAAGACACCAGATCGGTTGTCACAACCATGTTCCCGGGGCTTGGGAAGCTGCAGCAAACGGGCACGCAGCAAGCAGGGACGCAGCCCTGGAGGGGAGTGGGCCAGAGCACACATTATCCTGAACACACAGCGACAGGAACTACCCAGAAAGAAACCCAAAACAGACAAACAGAACCAAAAGCTTTAATGACAGAATATCCTTCAGCTCTGGGACAATTCTCAAAGGCCAAATATCTGCACAATTGAAATCGCTAAAGGTAAGAAGGGAGGGGGGCACCCCCCAAATCTGCAGGCAATGGCCCAGAATTCCTCCAGATTTGATAAGAACTGTGTGCATCGCAAAGTCATGAAGTCCCGCTAACTCTAAGCCCAGATACACAAACCCTAGGCACGCTGAACCGAGGGACCATTAACTAAGTGGCTCAAAGCGAGCGGCAAAGCCTCTAGAGTGGCTAGAGGGAAAAGGAGACAAGGGTAAGGGGGACACTAGATTTCTCATCTGAAATAAGGCAATCAGGAAAACAGGGAGCAATTTAAAGCACTAAAAATTTTGGAACTCTCAACCTAAGACTTTTTAACCTAAGTAAAATTAAAAAAAATTACTAGTAAAATTACTAAGAAAGCCTAGTTAGGTAGTTTTAACCAACAAAAACCGAGGTGAGGTTTATAAAAAAGGAACATTTTTGAGAAAAAGCTAAAAGCTGAACTTATCATCCGCAGGCTTCAACATCGGGAAGTGGCAGAGCCACCTCCAAGCTGAGGATAATGCTGGAGACGGAACGCTGGAGCTTCAGGGGAGAACGAAGTACCGGGAGCGCCGAGTACACAGGCAGGCAGTCTGGGCATCACTGGGATCTCACGCGAGGCAACGAGACTGCACAAGGCAAAAACACTAACGCTGTCTCGCAGACGCGGCTGGGGCAGGAACAGGGAAGTGCAGCAGCAGGGAGCAGGCCCTCAACCGGCTGCCATCTCAGCATCGAGGCTCTGTGCTCTGTGCGCACTGTTGCTTGGACCCACGAGCGGCCCGCATCTCCATCGCGGGTCCCGATTCCCGCGGCAGCGTAACTGCTGCAGCAGCTGGGGAGGCCTGGCCAGCTGGGTGTGCGAGCCGTGCCGGGCAGCTGCAGCGGGGCCGCCCTGCCGTGGACTCAGCCTGGGTCTGTGGAGTCCACTGCTAATCCTGGTGCTCAGTGTTAGGACTAAATCACAGCATACGGTACGAGCAGGGACCACAACGGAAGATACTCAAACATTCATTTTCTGATTCCGTAATACGGTATGTCCACATATAAACCACCAAAATCATTTATAAACAAACTATTAAAATGGTATTCAAATGCTCAAATTTTCTGATAAAATGATCAAGTCTCATTGTAACATAACACGACGGAGAATTAACACAACTCCTTCGGTATGCATCAATATAAAAGACAGATACTGTCACAAATACAAGCTCAGAAATTAGTTAATTAAATCTGTGAGTGTGACCTACTCTGAGTAGTCCTGATGCAAACAGGAAGGCCTTCTTTTAACTCTAACATAAGTCCTATATAAAGCATGATTTAGGTCATTAACCATTTAATTAAAAAGGTTATCTACACTGTAGCAAAGAATTCATTGATTTTAAAAGGGTTCCCTAGCACGATCTATACTTCCACTTCCACATGTAACTAAACGAGAAGTATATTTACAGCCAACTGTCAATCGTGACACGACGGGAGTCCCGACAGGCCAGGGTCACCGACAGAACTAACTCAGTGGTCTCTATGAGAGGTGGACGCACTCTCAAGTGTACTGACTTACCTCCTAGCCGATCAACTCAGTGGGACAATGTGAAAGTGCCACTATTTAAAAAGACTTTCTGGGCAGAACCAGGGGTCGGCCCAGAGTCCTGCAGTGCTAGGCAGGTGTTCTGCTACCAAGCCATGTCCCCAGGCGCACCACAAGCAAGCTACCAGTGGACCTATGTATAAGCAACAGCACAGGTTAACCCAAAATTCTGACCTTCTCTATTAATATGAGGCTACTTTCTCAGCATGAAGAGTTGCTCAGTTACAAAATGTACAGGAAAGGCTGCTGTCAGGGAGCTCAGAATCTCTCAGGCAGAGATCAGTATACCGAACTCGTATGTGCAAAAACTCACGTTCCCATGCCCACCGCTGTGTGGGTGGTGAGCTTGCATCAGGCAGTACCTCGCGATTTGTTTACATTCAGTCAGTCATTTGGTCTTCGTGTTACAAAGCGGGATGGAGAATGGGGCTGCCCAGAACACCTCCTTCAAAGCTCCAGTTTCTTCAATGGCAAAAGCCCTATACCTCAGCAGGGATGTACAGTAAATCAAAGTGCAGTAAGCCAAGCGCGCTCTCAGAATACCTATGCGATTGCAGGGGCAAACAGAGAAGAAAGCACCAGGTCTCCTGGTTTTCTGTGGTGACCACAAAGCTGACCTATACACTTTTCTCAAGACATGGGGCACATTCAGTAACCCACAGTTCCTACTGTACTTTTCATAAGCGTCTGCTGTTTTGACAGTGCAGTCATCTACTACAAAGATACACAGAGTGAGCAAACATTTTCCCCTCACAATGTTGAGTATACTGACATTTTCAAAAATAACACCCAGCAAGGAATTTTTAGTGTGGTGACCGGAAAAGCATCGTCAGGCACACAGTGTCCTTAAGCAGGAGGCCTGACAAGCACTTGTACTCTAGATTGTTTCAATGGACGCCGAGGCCTGTCACCATTCTCTGAAACAGCTTCTGCATGTGTCACCAACACTTTAAAGTCCCTAGTCTATTAACTATTTGGTTCTAATTTTCAGAACTCTGTATCTTCCAGAGTTTTTTGCACCCAAACAATTTTATGCTTCAACACTGGTTCTATTGTTTTAGAAGCAAAAGCTGGTTTCTCTTCCACTGTTTTACACAATATCCAATGCATTATTTTAAAATATTATAAACGTGTAAATAAAATCCTAAAATGGCATAACATGCTGGGCAGGCAGACTGTTCATAAATGTTCACAATGAGCCAGGTGTGGTGGTGCACACTGGTGATCTCAGAACTCGGAAGGCAAAGCAGGAAGATCAAGAGTTTGAGGCCAGCCTATACCACGCAGCAAGATGCTGCCTCAAAACATAAAAATAAATAAAACAAAACAAGTCTACTACTACTATCCTTGTTGTCTTAATAACACAGGGTGACTGTGCCCTTCCCCGCAGAGGCACTGTCACCCGGAATTGTGACCAAAGAGAGCAGTGGGAGTGGCGGGAGATCTGAGCTGGCCACCAGAGCCCCTGTGTCCTGGGCAAAGCCGGTGGATGAGGTAGAGGGGCCATCGGTATCACCCTCCCCTCGCGTGCATGCATACAGGAGTCTATCACAGCCAAGGCGTCAGTGGAGACCCCAGGCAGGCTTCAAGCATCCCGCCCTCTTCATCACTCCCCTCCCCCAACCCGTGGGGCCATGCCTTTGTGCTGTCACCTCACCTGGTCAAGGACAGAGACCCCTCTGCCCATGGAGGGGTCAAGCACCCACTTGACCATCCAGATCAGCCCTTCTCCTTTACAACCCACAAAAATTTGGGGGTGTCAAAAACTCACATAGCTCTTATCTGTCAGTTACTTCAAACATTCACCACTTTGCTGTGAGGCCTCAGGCCTCACACCAGTCCATGAAGAGAAAGCTGCTGGAAAGAGGCCCTCCTTCTGTCGGCGCTCGAAGACAGAGCACAGGGGCACCGCCTGCTTCAGCAAGCCACAACCAGGCCCTCCAGACCGTGCAGTGCACACAGAGGGGGCAGGGAACAGATGGACAGAAGACAGGGAAGCAGACAGACCAACACTCCACGTAATGGCTCTCAAAAGACTGGACAGGACAGGGCCAGGCCAACAGGCAGCATCACTGTACCAGTAAATTCCCAAACTCTGGAGTGCACAGTGTCATTAAATTCCATCTCCATTTGACTGAAATACTGAGTGAGTAAAAATGCACTTACCGATCAATGACAATCTCTTTCTGCCTCAGAAGTCCTTCTTTTATCTTCAGCATCGATTCCCACTTGCTGAAATCCTGGCAGTCAGATGGCAAGTAGTGCTGCCGAGACACAGCTGGCTGAGCCTGCACAGACAGAGTGACACTTAGTACGTGGAGGGAGTACCGGGCAGTGGGCAGGGGCCACTAAGGTCTCCCTAGTCACTTTCATTAGAAAAAGTACACTCACTTCAATTTCTGAATGTCTGAAATCATATTTGGGAATAAAATTAATAATAAAGAATTCCAAGCACAGTGAATGTGTAAGCCTAACGGAGATTTGAGGCAACGGGAGACGCAACACGATGAACCGTAAGACCACAATTAAGGTCTCATTACCTGGGGGCGTGACTTCACCGTGCCGTCCTGGGGACTGAACCCAGGGCTCCCACTTGCCAGCCACATGCTCTACCAGGGAGCCGATGCCCAGCACACAAGAGACAAATCACTGCCTGAGGAAGCAGCGCCAAGGCGGACGGCATGGCCCCAAGAGACAACACTCCCGAGGGTCCCCGCGGCAGCGGGTGTGGCACTGCAATCTCCAGGCTCCGCACCCTTGTGTACGCCTGAGCACTTCGTCATGCTGCAACTGCAGACTCGCACCTGTCACCTGCCGCCACAGGCAGCGACACGGCCAGGGAGAGAGACAGGGTTGCTACGGAGCCATCCGCACGGTTGCTAACCTCACTATACATTACGCAGTTCAGCAGAATGCCGAGAATGTAAGAAAAACGTCAGATGCTTGACATAAGTCAACAACCCTAACAACCAACCTGACAGTTAACACGCAAATGTCTACCAGTGAAACAACAATACAACTTTTCTCCATATTGGTGTCATGAGTTCAGCTATATCTCTTCACAGTGACTCGTTCAAGCTGTAGCCCAGAGTACATCCGAAAGTGACCTTATTTGGAAATGGTGCACAGACATATAGATAGAGTCAAAATAAGAAGTCATGGGATGAACCCAAATGCAGAAACACTGCTGGTGTCCTTTTCTTCTTCTTTAGTATGGGGACTGAACCCAGAATCTGCACGTGGAACTACATCCCCAGACCTTTTACTATTTTTTTTTTTTTTAATTTAGGACAGGGTGCACAGGGTGTGCAGGGTCTCATCGTGTAGACTGGACTTGCAGCGACCGTCCTGCTTACAGCCTCCCAAGTGCTGGGATTACAGGTGCGCGCCACCACACCCAGTCTCAATCACTGTCCCAGCGCACCCCGGGGCGGGGCCAGCACAGCAGGCCCAGTGATAGAATTCCCGGCCTCTGCATCTGCCTAAGCAAGGGCTTTAATCCGCTGAGCTATTTGGCCAGCCCTATTATTCTTTGAAATAGGGTCTCCTTAGAGCATTAGGTTGTCCAGGCTAGGCTTGAGCTTGCAGTCTTCCTACCTCAGCCTCCCAGAGTGAAGGTCACTGCCTGAAAATTATGCCTTATGGCCTAAAAATTAAAATTTGGCTTTATACTTTTAAATACTGAAAACAAAGAAAATACCTTTGTGATATATCAAAATTATACTAAATGAAAAATTCAGTATGCTAAATAAAGTTTTACTGGAACACAGCCATGTTTCTTCTCCTTCTCCTTTTCCTTCTCCTTCTCCTTCTCCTTCTCCTTCTCCTTCTCCTTCTCCTTCTCCTTCTCCTTCTCCTTCTCCTTCTCCTTCTCCTTCTCCTTC